ACCAAGAGGCATCTTACAGACACATGGCAAATTTCTCTTGCTCTAATAGGCTTCCAGGTGCCAGGACTTCTTATCTGGACAAGTGAGTTTACATTTAAGGGGATATTCACCAGGGGCTACACCTCCTGTTCCTCACCCCATTTGCTACTTCCTGTCTGGCAATCAGGACCCAGCAGCAGGCTCGTGCTATAAACCACTTCCATCCTCCACAAGTCCTAAGTGGAGACCCAGACTTCTACCACGGAGACCAACTTCTCTCTGAGCATCTCTGGGACGGGGCCTGGACTAGAGCCCACTGTGCTCTTATCTGTCTACCTGCCCTGGCACATAACAATTCCACCTGACATCCCCAACAATCCATCTCAGTTCCCACTGAGCCTACACCTAAGACCTTGAATAAAGAGCAAGGAGCCTCACAAGAGCACCAATGTTCATACCACACCCCCCCATTTTACTTTAGTGGGAAAGATTTAAGGCACAAGGCCAATCACACCAATTCATTCTCATCTGTTGAATTCTGGTATATATTCTGTGCACTTCACAACTTAGGAAGAACGTTCATATATATTACCTAACATACTTACAACCGCCCCCCTTTCCACAGGAAACATACGTGTGTCACTCTGAGATCACTGTGACTTACTACAGAGGAGGTCAGCTGAGCTACTGCACAGTACAGCTACCCAAAGGACATGCATGTGGAAAAAGAGAAAGAAAGAGAGGAAGGAGGGACGGAGGTCGGGTCACCCGTCATGCACAGAGCACAACACTGCAAGCATCACCATCTGGGACTTGCACACTCAGAGGATGCAGCTGCAGTGAAGACCGTGGAGCTTAGAGGAGACCTTCTGTGGGAACCATCACGTGATGGCACCGGGCCATTCTGAGCTACAGCTGTACTATATGATCCAGCTCCACTTGTCCTCAGCAAAACACCAGCATCTCTGAGACAAGCAAGCGTGACAGAAACTCAGCACGGGCAGACGGACTGGGGCCCCCAAGCCCCTGGAGTAGCAGGATGAGAGGGAGAGGCGCGAACAGCAGAGCCCACACTCAGGGCTCACTGCAGTGAAAGGATACGGAGCAGGGTCGGCAAGGGAGGGTGCGGGCAAAGCCCCGTGGGAAGCAGGGCAGACAAGGCAGCTGCCGGGGGCAGGGTGTCGTCAGTGCCAGCAGTTTCAAAGGACTGCAGGGGAAAGCCGGAGTTCAGAGCTGCCGCGTTTCCTGAAAAAGGGAGTTGCAGAGAGGTGACCCCATCATGCGACACTCTTCCTAGAGGCATGTGACAAACTGTTAAATGGCAGTGCAGAGCTAAGCAACACGAGAGTAAACTCAGACACACACACGACACGGCACGGCACAGCAATGCTTCGCCAGCTCTGTGACGCAAGAGAAGAGGGGTCCTGGGCCTTCCATTGTGGCCCCTGCAGGGTTGCTGGGAAAGCCAGGAAGGGTGAGCCACGAGTAAACTAACTTTCACACTTTTTTAAACGTTACCTGAAGCCAGCTCAGTAGCTCATTGGGTTGGGGAACCAAGCCCTACTCCTTGTAACTCATTTGAGGACAAAGGAATTCTCTGATCTTACATGACATCTGTCATATAAACTGACAGACATGCCAAGAAACACAACCAGAGAAAAGACTAATAGAAACAGCTCTAGTGTGTTACTTACCACATGGGAACTTTAAAATAACTGTGCTTCCAACAAAATGAACAAAATGAGAAAGTGCAGTAACTGAAATCATCTACTTCCAGCAGACAGACAGATACACACACAGATACAATCACACACACACACACATAAATAGATACACACACAGATACAATCACACACACATAGATACACAGAGACACACACACATAAATAGATACACACACAGATACAATCACACACACACACATAAATAGATACACACAGAGAGAGACGCACACACACACACAGACATACATATTAACAGATACAGACACACACAGAGATACACACTGACACATACACATACACACAAAGAGACACAGACACACACACACACACAGATGCAGGCACACACGCCAGTTTAAGAGCACACTACATGACCCTAAGCTGGAGCAGAAGCAGAGGAGCCCAGCTGGGGGCTGGTGCACACTGCGATCCCAGAGCTCACGCTGAAGCACAAGGACTCCTAAGTTTGATTCCAACCTGGGCTACAGACAGAGCCCTTCTCTCAATAGACAAGAAACAGCAGCGTTGGGGTGGGGACCAATGAAGAGACAGAAAGTATATCTTAATGAATATTGGCTGGCTAATAATGTGGCTTAAAGTGTGAACAACACATGAAACACATGACGTAGTAAAAAATGGGACAGTCACACAGTTAACGTGTCCTAGGGTCTTACATGTGTTGTCCTTGAGGAAGCAGACATAGCAGTTTCTATTATGCAAACCTCTAGGGTACCGATGTAAGAATAATAAAAGAAGGCAGCCCCCTCTCTCCTCGAGTCTTCCACATCAGCACAACGCAGCTGCAGCACTTTCCACTGGAACCTGGCACTGACACCTAACACTACGGCTCATCAGCAGAACATAACTATCCAGGGGACAGCAGCACCACCAGGCACCGGCTGGCATCAGGAGCTCTTTCCCAAGGGGATTCAGAGAGTAAATGAAGGCAGAGCAAGGAAGATCAAAATTAGCAGACTCAGAAGTAAGGATGGCAAAGCCGATTCTCACCATTACTGCAGTGATCTAGAAACTTCAGAACAAGGTTTAGTCTATGCTGTAGGGTTAGACTCCAAGGCCTTTCTGAGGGTATTCGGATTGTCTGTGTGTTCACACATGTACATATGGGTACCCAGGTATGTCGTTACCTGGATAAGAGCTTTGCCGAAGAGAGCTTAGGAACAGCAACGGCAAAGAAACAATAAATGAAACCAGCAGTACACAGTGGTATAATTGCTACTTTAACCCACAAACCATCAGATCAGCCTGGACACAGTGGCTAATTCCACCCTCAGGAAAAACTGTGTGCAAAGACGGGCCTGAGGCCCTGCTGCTCCAGAAGTGCAAAGGGCCAAGGAGCCGCGTGGACGCACACGAAAGCGCTGTGGGGGGAGGGGACACACATACTAATGGCAGTTGTCATTAAAGTGAACTAAACTCTAAGTTACAAGTCCAACGTACACATACATCTAAAAATGAATAAATTAAGTTTGATGAGAAAGAGGAACTAACAGGAAAAAACTACATTTGCAATGGGAAACTTCAGCAAGCCATCTTAACAGGTGGTCAGAGGGAAGGTTCTGAGCAATAGGGGAAGCAAAGCTACACAGCATTCCAGGATGCCACAGGAAGAACTCAGCACCCGCGGTGCTCTTGCCTAATGTGGATGGCTTAAGTTCAGAAAGAGATGGAGACGGTTCAGACTGAGGACCTGCAAACCACAGAAGCGTTAGCATACAGAGGTCAAGGAAAATCAGAAGTTTGGGCAAAACTAATCTGAAACACAGACAGAAGAAAGATAACCAGGGAAAGAAGCAGCTGAGTTTTTAACAGCAGAGAAAGAGGGTGAAAATATACTGCAAAATCACCCATCGCAACTGCAGACTATAAGAGAAAACACCCCATATCTCAACTGCAGAGTGTTAAAGCAAACACCCCATATTAACTGCAGATCTCTGGATGTCTCTGTAGACACAGCGGTGAGAATCAGGTATGTTCAGTCCCTCCCTGTGCTACATCCTCTTAAGAGAATCCGATAGAGTACCAACTCCCATGATACAAAAGTAAGCAAAAACACTTACAAAAGAAAACAGTTAAACACTGAAACACAATATTAAAATGTTAAATGTGATATAGTAGTGTTTAGCAGTATAATTATTCTGACAGACACTTTTCAAAACATAATTCTTCCTTCTGAAACAATGAGTCTGTTGGAGGAAAGGGGTAATGTTGACATCTGTGTAGATCCTAAGAGCCAAAGCTGGTCCTCTGACTAACTGGGGCGAGCATCCTCCTTGCATGGGCCATGGTAACAGTGTAGTTTCAGGGTCTGACTTCAGGAAAGGCTGACCACCCTCCACATTTTATTAGCACTGCGTGTGGGTGTGTGTGTGTGGAGAGTCGAGGAGTCAGGTCTCTGCTTCTGCCTTCCCTGGTTCTGGGAACGGAACTCAGGTCATCAGGATTGCATGGCAAATGCTTTGCCCACTGAGCCATCCCAGCTGCCCAAGAACATCATGGTCAACTATGCATTTGCCTCCACTGTGGCTGCCAGTGACCACTGTCTAATTAATTACCACATCCACAGCAGCCCAGTTCCTGTCACACTACTCGTGACACTGCTGTGCTGACTCACACGGTAGCAGTGCAGTGACAAACTAGCACGATGACAAACTGACACCCAGCACCCCAAGTCACCAGGGCTCTAAAGATGGGGCTACTCTCACCCATACACACACACTACAGAACAGAAGGCTACAGTCTGACACTGTGACTAAGAATTTTAACACTGAACTGTCTACACTTACAAATGGTTCAAATGTCATATACAATGAATTTTAAAAGAAAATATTTTAAGAATCATTTGACAGAAATAAATTGTCAAACAAATGCTAAATTCAGCTATTTCCAACATATAACCAGGTTACTGAACAGCCAATAAAATCAGTAACAACAATAAAATGAATCTCTTTTGAAATACAGTACATGACTCCAAGCCCTCTTAATTTAGATATTATCTAAATGCAATGTTTCTCCAGGGCTTGTTTTTTAGTTAAAAGTGAAGTATTACAGTTATAAAAGCAACATTCAAAGCAGAAGGCCTTTTCATTGCAATACTAATCAAACATTAACAATAAAAGAATCAATCATTACAGTTAGAAACAAGTATTAGACATGTAATCCCAACCCTATTGATTGTAAATGTGTTCTTGACTATGGAGATTGTCATGCTCACCTACTGACTATTCGCATGAGGTCTTACTAGCAGATAGCACATAGGGAAGAAAAAAAGGAACATCCTACCTAGTTACTTTACAGCTTGATTCAATTAAGTCATTTTCAAAGTCAAACATGTTGGAGGGCAGATTATATTCCAGCGTAGAAGTCAGTCTTTTCAAACGCAATAAACCAACACAAAATTTTGCTCCCATCTCTTCCAATTCTCGAGTGCCAATCTGTAAACCCTAGAAATAAAGTAAAACACACAGACTCTCAGAACCTCTGCTCTCCTTTGGCTGCAACTCATTAAAGTCATATCCAAAGAATTTTTAACTATATTAACAAAACTGAAACATTGCTGTGGAAATAGGACATTACACTGTGAAGGTCTTGGTGACATGAAATTATTCTAGATCATTAAGGAAAATGTTCTAAAGCACAGTATCTTACAGTTCTTTTGGTGCTGTTGTAAAGACAGAGTCAAGCTAGGATTACGGGATGTGCTACAATACGGGACTCCAAAGGACAATGAAAAACTCCAACTCAGTCCTGGCTTCTGAGGAACTGTCAACCCTGAACTTTGCGATCAAACACCTCCCCACCCCCCCGACCATCACTGCACACACCAACAACCTGAGGGGCTGGAGTACATGAACAGAGGATCTTCTGACTGCCGTTGCTCTTGTTCCTGTGTGCAGCTGTACAACAAAGCCTTCCTAACACTCCTTGTGAGCCTGGCTCTGACCGTCAATGTGGAAGACTAGCATCAAAGCCAACGCTCTATGCACTTCCGACCATTACTTTATAGATACTTGCACAGTGTCTAAGTCGGTAAAAAATAATGGAAGGGCCTAAATAAATGAGAATGGATTCAACAAAAGGAGTAAAACACTTCCTATGTTCCGTGTCAAGGGACAGTGCCTGCTTTACTTTTTCTACTCAATCAAAAAGAAAATCACACATGGTTCCTGTCACCTTTTTTACCTACTTCCCAAATGTAAAGTTATCAAACGTTAAATGTCACCATATAAACCACAAACATTGATTGAAAATTATATTGTCATTTATTTTCCAGATACAAAACAACTGAAGGCCTTCTGCCATCAAGCTCTGTAGGTGTGGGTAGACGCGGTCCTGCGTAAGGACGGGCCACAAGCCGACTCTCCAGTCCCCAGCCTAGAGCAGCCATTGCACGTGGGAGGCTGGCCAGGCTAGCACAGCAGCCGCTTTACCCAGAAAGCTGCCTCTCCACAGCGAACATCTTAAAACTGGGTTCAGAAGAAACATTCCTCCCCAGACGGTTTTAAACCAAAAAGAATCCTATTAACTAAATCACATAAAAAGAGAAATGGGAACTTATTTGGTATTCATTTCGCTTTTTAAAGGGTTACATGTTTATACATCAAAAAACAAAAAACAAACGGATCTAGTGGGATGGCTCATTCAATAAAGGCATTTGCCACCAACCCTGACCACCTAAGTCCAACTACTGAGATCCACTTGGTAAGACAAGAAACCTAACTCCCACAGATTGTCCTCTGGCCTCCTGTGTCACACACAAACACATACACGTCACACACAAGTCACACTAAAAAATCTAAATATAGCAGTGCAGGCTCCATGAGTCCATGAATGGCCGCAGCCACAGGGGCAGAGGGCACTGGAGGCAACCACACCACACAGGCACTGTGACACCATTTCAGACTGTGTGTTCCCAACTAGTTACTAATGCATTTATTTTAAATTCATAAAAAATACTTACTATTGAATCTACTAAAATGATGGGGATTTTTATAACAGGGTTTTATTTTTGTAGCTCCTTATGAATTGCTAATAAAATGTGTGATCCATTGTGCTTTCCTTAAAACTATGGATGTGAATAGTTAAATAATTAAGATTTCTTAACAATTCCTAAGCAAGTGGTTTAGTTTAGAGAAATTAAAAGCAACAAAAAGCAGGGTCAGGAACATGGTTCACAGGGTAAAACTGATTGCTCTTCAAGCACAAAGCCCTGTGTTCAAATCCCATGTCCAGCTGTGTGTGCCTGGGACAGACGAGGGAACAGGTGGGCTCTAGGAGCTCCCTGGCTAGCCAGCCAAGGGCAAGTCTCTGGCTCTTCGGTGAACGTCAGTGAGGGGCTGTGCCGGAGAACAGAGAGGAGAGGACTACAGCAGCACTCCCGGCCTGGGGTCAAAGGACCCTTGCACAGGGCTTGCCTAGGACCAGAACACAGAGACAGGAGCAAAGCGACAGTTGTGGAGGAGGAGCAATGAATACTCTTATGGCTGGGGGTCACCGTGACATGAGGAACCGTGTTAAAGGGTCACAGCGTTAGGAAGGCTGAGAACCACTGTCTTAGGGGAAAACATCCCGCACCTTCTGTGGCATCCATGCATATATATACAGGCATGCACCCTTACACAACCACACAGATCTCCCTCACACTCACCCAGAAACTCACTGTCCGTAGTGTGCCACCTATCCCTCTACTGTACGTTACACATACAGCTCAGTAAGACGTGCGCATTTAACAAATACTTGAAAACCAAGAGAGCATACATGAAAGGAAGCATCAAATATCTAAACACCTGTGGCAGGAGAGAGCACTGTGGTTACCAGTGCTTGCTTCCCTTGCAGAGGACCAGAGCTCAGTTCCCAGTCCTCACAGGGCCCAGCTTACACTGCCTGCAACTCCAGCTCCAGAGCCTCCCTGGGCATCGCACTCATGAGCACACGCCCACACAGACACAGGAAATTTAAAAATAGCTTCGCGTCTTCCAATGCTTTACCTTGTATCTCCCCTGATCGCAGCCACACAAAGTGCTCTCCATGGTATAGCTCCTTTGAACTCCTATTTCCCGCCACACTACAACCCGGGCTGTGGATTCTTTGGATTTTTCCACCACAAAGCTACAGCTGCTCATACAAAATGCGGGAGCAATGTGGCTCAGTATCTTAGGCAGAGTCTGTAAAATAAAGTTGTCACCCAGAGGTTATTGATTCAAACACTGCTTCATCCTTCCTCTTGCTCAGCTTTAACTAACTTAGACTTCCCCGCTGCTCCAACGGTGACCAGTGAGGAAACACTTACGGTAGCAAGCAATACACAAAGTATACATTTGAAAGCATCTAAAAACAAACGTGGTTAAAATATAAAGAAGGGACTTGAGAGAGGGCTCAGCCGCTAAGAGGGCAGGCTGCTCACCCAGGGTTTGGTTATTCTCTGCAGCTGAAGCCCCAGGGGACCCGGCACTCTCTGCTGGATACTGTGGGTTCACACAGGCATGTGTGGAAACTCACGCACAGGCATGCCCAAGTGAATAATAAGTAAGTAAATAAAATATGAAGAAAAACAAGCTTAAAATTTAAAACAAATCACCTAAAAAGGGTCAACTGACTTAACACTAAATGTCAATGACCTCAAGACAAAAAAAAAAAAAAAAAAGCCTCACCAATGGAATAATGGAATTGTAATCTAAGAAGTACCAGTGCTTTTTCTAACTTAAAATTATTCTCAAGTTCACCTGAAAATGTAAATATGAGCAAACTGAAAAATCATCACAGACAAAAAAAAAAAAAACCCGGCTAAGTCTGGAGAAATGGTCTCACACATGTCAGCACAGCCTGTCTGTCTAAAGCAACCCGATGGGGACTGTCAGGCAGGAAAGACACTGAGCTCTGCAGAGAGGGCTCAGAAACGGAACCAAAGCACGATGGCACTGCTCGAAAGGGCACTGGCCCGACCGTGTCAGTGAGAATGGTCTGAAGTCACTGCTCAGCGGCTAAGTTAAACACGGAAGGAACTTTAAAAAACAAAATGAAAGAACGCGGTGGGTGTGAGGTGTGGCCGGCTCAGGAGTCCAGCACTTGCGCAGCACACAGAAGGCCCGGCTCCAGGCCCAGTGCCATTGAAGGGAGAAAAATAAAGAGGCAACAAGTTTTAAATTACTACACACCAGAAACAAATTAGACAGCATGCAATCCACATAAAGCACTCTTGTTTCAAAAATGGTAATAATTAGATGAACATTACAAAAGTCAGAAATATGAGAAGGAAGTGTTTCCAAACGGTAGTGTAATGTACAAACATGAAAGCCTCAATCTCACTTCCGGTTTTCACTCTGTAAATTAAAATAACCAGGCACTGTTTTTCCTAGGAAAGATGTACAGTAAAAGGATGTCGGGGAACGACACCACCTCTCGTGGTATTTTGAGCATCAATTGGTTTCTTCTGTATTGTGGAGAATCTAGCACCACCTCCAAGAGGCCCCTCAAAGAACACACGTGAGTGCTCTGATAGGGTAAAACCAAACTGCACCATATTAGTTTGGGTAACTGATAACAAATAACGGAGACTGATCCAAATATGATGTCCTGAAAGGACGGTCAGCAAAGGTGAAGCTGTTGTGTAGCTGTGCTGGGCGGGGCTGGGGCTGCTGGGCGGGGCCGGGGCTGGGGCTGCTGGGCGGGGCCGGGGCTGCTGGGCGGGGCCGGGGCTGAGAAATGGTGCCTCCGTTAAGGGCTTTACTGCTCTTGCGGAGTCTGCATTCGTCCTCAGCCCACAAGCTTTGACTCCAGCTCCCACAGACCAGCGCCCTCTTCTACCCCCACTGGCGCCTCACACACACAGTTAGAATCCCTCAGCTAAGTAGATGAGGATGTGAATGTAAAATGTGCTTTCAGTGTAATAACGAGGAATTCCAGGAGCCTGGGTATTCTTAGAGCAGAGGGCGGCTGTACCGATGTTTGGAGAACAGCGCAAGGGAAGGCTCCTTCTTTCCAGTCCTTCCGTCCTCTGCCGTTCACTTTCAAACACTGCTCACCAGATCTAAGTCTATTCCCTACTTCACCTCCACAGCTCTGAGCACTTCGTGTGTACTAAATTTTCTTATCGCTTACGTGCATTTGAAATTCAAATACGCATGAGCTGCCTGTACTACTTACCCTGTATCCCATGTCTTCCACAACATCACAGGAAGCTGCATTGTCATGGGTATGCCACACTGTCTCTTTGATGCTGCAGCCATACATGAATACATTCTTTTTTCGAGAATGGCCATGGTAATCACAATAGACCTTAACAAGATCAGAAATTTTAACAATTAAAGCCTTAGATCTACACAAAAGGACACGTGTCTGCCAGTCTGCGCCCATGTTAGAGATGGGTGACGATGGTGACCCTTATCTGTAGGCTCTGATTTATACAGCTTCATTCCAGGGACTCACCTATAAACAGTCTTTGTTTTATTGTGTTCAAAGTTGTGAAAGAGTACTATTTTGTGATTTCTATTCTAGTACCTTTAGGATAAATTAAAACTAAACTGTTGCCAAACTAAAATTTTTAATCTTCAGACTCATATAATATCAAATAAATGCAGATAATATCAAGCCAATCAACAGCTCTGTCCTCTTTGGTGTTTTAGGAGAATCATCACTTAATAAGAAATAAAACCCAGTTTTGTAAGGATTTATAATTGCTGTTCAAATTGCTAAATTCTCGAAGGTCCCACATAAACCGAAAGTTCCTGATCTCTTACTAAACACTTGGGTTTTTTTTGCAGGGGAGGGGGGGGGGGTGGGACGGGGAGGGGTGTTCAAAGACAGGGTTTCTCTGTGTAACAACCCTGGTACCCTGGAACCTACTCACCACTTAAAATACAATAAATGTGATTTTATTTCAATTTGGCAGCAACAGTCATTACAAATTCAAAGAGTTAAAATATTTACCCAATTTAAAGGAATATGAAAATGCTTTCATGAGAAAAAATTCACAAAACTTTTAACAAAGTCTTAAGAGGATCGTTTATAAAAATGAAAAAATAATGTGCTAATTTTACTACTTCTTTCCTAACACAAGATTAGATAATATAGACACTAATGTAAAAAGAGACACATTGTAGCTGGGTGTGGTGGTGCAATCATTTGGTCCCAGCACTCAGGAAGCAGAGGCAGGCAGATCTCTGAGTTCAAGGCCAGCCTGGTCTACAGAGCAAGTTCCAGGACAGCCAGGACCATATAGAGAAACCCTGTCTTGAAAAACCAAAGAGGAGCATTGTAATCAAAAGCTGGTGAGGAGGACAGACACATGTATGAGATCCAAGGCAGTTCCACAGTGCCCTGCTGTATCTGCAGGTGTGCCTGGTGATGGGGAAGTCCTTCTGTGTATATGTCAATAAAGCCAATAGGGAAGCAAGATAGGGGGGACTAGGAGTCCAGGAGGATTCTGGGAAATGTAGTGAAGGGAGTCATCGCCATGTGATTCCCGGGATAAGTAAGTCAGAGCTAGCCATTAAGAAACCATAGCAAATGGCCAACAGCTTCGAAATTAATATAGCCTCCTGTGTGTTCATTTGGGACTGGCGCGGCTCTGGAGCAAGACTGCCAGGAAGACTGCATGTTACACCCTGGGGCATCAATTAGGAACACACATGTACTGCCATGAAATCTGCAAGGTGTATACTGTTGCCTTTGTGCTGGTCGTACAACAAAGTTAATGTCTAATGCACAGAAATTACCATTCTAATATTCATAAAAAAGTAAAAGGTCTATGTAAATTATACACAAGTATACAGTATCAACTCAACACTATAATCATTGTAAAGAAAAAAGACTTTGAAATTAACACCTAGCTTTTATATTCAGAAAATAACATAAAAGGTACTAAATCACAGGATTCTGGGAAGGTTGTGACTGGAGGCTACCTATGTGTGAGCCCAGAAGAGACAGGAACTGCAGCCCAAAGAGAAGCCTCTGGAAGTCTACAAAGAGAGTGAGGGAATGGTTACTGGAACAGAGCAGGAAAAAAAGAAACCCATGAGAAGCAGAGAACAAGAGAAACACACAGCAGGAGGGGCCGCCAAATGAAAACCTGCAGTCCTGCCCTCAGGACAAACCTGTGGCCCTCAAGGCTCAAATACAGTCATGGATTTCGGTGAGATGGTGAGTCCTTTGGCAAACGGGTCACTGGTGGCTAGAAATCCCATTTTATCACCCTAGGAGATTCAGAAAGTGGCAGTCAACAGCCATCCTGAGGTGCCACCTTGAGACCAAACGCTGTTGAAATGGGGCTACTCTTGGACCCGAGACCAACAACCAGTGACAGACAAGGAAGGCATCTAACAGGCAGCAGGGGCCACAAACAGGCTGGAGAGGGCGTAAGGGAGGACATCAGTGCCCTCCATGGCCACATGCACATCTCTGCAGTTTAGAACGATCTGGAGCTTGGCAGCTGAGAGGCCAGGGCCTGCTGTTCACACTATCTATGGAGCTGGAGAAGTTCCAGGGATATACCTCCCCTCCACACTGTGACTAGTGCTTAGGAGGTCTTCAAAGTGTCAACACAGGCCCTCTGTCTTCACTGACCCTGTCTGTGACGGCTTCCCATGCCCTGCAAGGCACGTCTAGTACAGACTCCACAGCAACCTAAACCACAGGACAGACAAGAGCGAGCAGTTCCACTCGTTTCCAGGCATACATGTGGCGCTCTCCAGTGCTCACGGACCCGGCAGGGACGGCTCCAGCAGCAGATCTTTTTATTCTTGTGATCTTCCTTCGATCCTCTTGTGACCCCATCCCCTCTATGGACACACCTGACAGGATTCACATACTTCACTACCTTTTGAAACGCCGTCTCTGGTGTCCCCACTGGGTGGGGCTCTGCTCTTCTGCTTGGTGTGCTGCCTCTCCCGCCCCTTCCTGCCCCACAGCACTGACACAAACGTTTTTACAAACTCTGTATTTCTTATTTCCCTCTTACACTTGCCTATTTTCTATTTTTAGTTTTCTTCTAATTGAGAGGTCTCCGCCCTTTTTCCTTTATCTTTCTAATCTCTTACTAGTTTTTAAATTCTGCACCTTTCTTATCTTTTACCTTGCTTCTCCTTTTTGCCAACATGTCTCCTTCCATTATTTCATTCATTTACTATTTCCATACTGATCCTAGAAAATTTTTAACTTAGAGGACACACTACATCCATCTTCAGGTTTATGAAATCTCATGTATTAGCGAGCTGCCATTGACTTCAAATGTGTCACTGGAGCCTGAGTCTGCTAATATGTTAGGATGGCAGTGGGCTTTCTTCCTGTTGAGTGAGACTGGGGATCGGGGCTTCAAAAATAAGATAATCAATAAAAGGATTCCTCAAAGCCAGAAGACACAGCCAAATGAACAGATACTCAGAGCGCAACAGAGAAACCCAACAAGAAAATGCTTGGCAATGTGACTCCTTGAAAAGATCAGAACTCAGCAGGGAGCAGCTGTGATCTTTTCAAGGAGTCACAAGACAGGAAAAGTGAGCAGAGACATAAAACAGGGCACCAACAAGCAGGTAAGCTCAGTCCACTATCTGCAGAAGAATGGCAGCCACACAGTGAGTCAGCCAGACAACTGAGAAAACCAGTGTTTCACATAACAAAGTCAGCAAAAACGAGATTTAGGGGAAAAGTCTATGTTAAAAATAAAAAACTCAGGGACTCAAATAAAACAAGCTTGACCAAGCATAAGAAAGAGCATGGAGAATGGAGGAAAGGCTGACAAAATGCTGTGTTCAAGCTCCAGTAAGGAAAATATCAGTGTGACCTCAACTTCTCAAAGCTGTGGGCTGTGGGGCACAATCAACCCTCCAGGAGACAGAGGGGCTGACAAAAGAAGCACAAAAGATGTAAGGAGTCTTTACAATGAAATCAGAGCAGAAAATTTCCAAACCTTGGGTCATCAACATTTGGAGCCCCAAACACACATGCACAGAGAACTTCCCCAATGCTTACTGTAGTCAAGACACTGGAAATACAAGGCAACAAAGTAATCTTAAGGGCTGCAAGGAAGAGGCATCAACTTAGCTTCACAGGTAGAAACACCAGAACAACAACCAATTTATCATCACCATATACCCCCACAATACACTGAAAGCCGTGAGCCACTGCCAACCAGGACTGCTCTAGCCAGCAAAGCCATCTGTTTTAAACTGAGGGGTAAACAAGGGCATTTCATGACAAGCACAAACTACAGGAGTTTGTGGCCGTCAAGGCAACATAAGAGAGCACCACACAGGGGTAGAAGAAAGCATCACAATCATGACGACACAGGAAAGAGGGCATTTAATGACAAGAGATGAAAGTGAGCTGGGAAGGAAGGAGTCATTTCCAACACAGTAAACCAGCAAACTCCAGGTACCAGACAGAGAGAGGCTATAGAAAAATATTAATCCAGATAGATAGATAGATAGATAGATAGATAGAATCAATAAAAAAGAAAAAATATTAATCCAAACAATCAGGGGAAAGAGACAACAAAATTATAGCAACTAATAGCATTGCTCTGGTTAACAACCTTAAACGCAAATGGCCTCAACCCACCAATATAGACAGAGAACACCTAGCAGGGTTAAAAGATGTGAAAGGCAGACATTACTACAGATTCCAATAAAACACAGAGAAACATATCCAAGCTAGAAAATCTAGAAGAAATGGGTAAACTCCGAGACACGTGTGAACTAACAAAATTGAAGCAACAAGATATAAACCAATTAAACAGAACTACAACAATGGAGATTGAACCAGTAATTAAAAGAAAAAAAAATGTCTTTCCGCATAGAAAGTGCAAGGCTGGATGATTTACTGAAAATTCTACCAAACCCTTTTCAGAAGAGCTGACAAAGCCTTCCCAGAGAGGCGAGATGAGAGTAGGAAGCCAGCCCCACTGTAGCTAGACACAGACATCACACTTAAAGGCCAGTTTCTCAGATCAACACACTTGCAAAAATGATCACTAACATCCTGACATAGCAAATTCAAGAACAAGTTAGCATCAGCCACCACGACGGAGCTGGTCTCACTCAGTTAAGTCACATAGCATATAAAGGACTTGAGGGCAGAAATTACAAAGTCTCCAGCAGGTTGAATGTCCCTTCACAAGAGTCCTAAAGAAACCAGGAATATGAACGCCAGTAAGATGTATAGAACAAGCCTGCAATCAATATTGCAGAAAATAGGGAAAACCTGAGGGCATTTCCCCCAGACTTTGGAATAAGGCAAGGGTGCCCACTTTCTCCACTCCAATCAGCAAAGTACTCAGAGACTTGGCTAAAACAATACAACAGGAGAAAGGGGTTTCAAAATCCAGTCAGCTTCCTCTGCCTCTGGGCTGTGTCCTAAGATGTGATCTCTCAGCTACTGCCCCAGCACCACGCCTGCCCGGCTGCTATGCTCTCCCCTAGGTCATGGACTCTCACCCTCTGGAAATAAACTCACTCAAATAAACTGTCTCCTAAAAATGGTCAGGATCATGATGTTTTATCACAGCAACAGAAAAGTAGCCAAGACAGCAACCTTCCGAACAACACAGTTGGGAGAATGTGGGTTTCCACATTTCTAGAAAGACAAATCTGCATCTCACAGCTGGCACTAAACCCATCAAAACAGATCAGAGGCCTGAGTGAGACCTGAAGGTCTTAAGAGTGGTAGAGGAAAGCACTTCAAGAAGCAGGCACAGGCAAGGATTTTCCTAAAAGGACTCATAGTACAGGAAATAGTTCTAACTGGCAAAAGGGAAGCGTCTGCATGAGAAAGGAGACAACCTTATAAAGGAAAAGGAGGGAAGTGTTGTGGGAACTCGGTCCCCCAACAGCCTCGGGGTAGGAAGTTCTAGGGTGTGGTCTTGTCTGCTACGTGACCCCCAACTCTGGGGACATTTTAGGTCCATGCCACCAGCTGCTCATAAATCCATGTGTTTGGTAGCAGGGCCTTTTTGTGTTTTTGTTTTTTGAGACAGGGTTTCTCTATGTATCCCTAGCTGTCCTGGAACTCAACTCTGTAGATCAGGCTGGCCTTGAGCTCACAGAGATCCGCCTGCCTCTGCCTCGTAAGTGCTGGGGTTAAAAGCGTGCGCCACCATCACCCAGCTGGTCACAGGACGTCTTAAAAAAGCCTGGAGGTTTCTGCTGCTAATACGAGTCAGGAAGTCATCTCCTTAAGGAGCTGTGTCTCTGCTTTGCCTCTAGCAGACAGAGGCCACCGTTTTCCTGAGGAATCTCCATACTGATTTCCAAAGTGGCTGTACGAGTCGGCACTCCCACCAGAAGTGGAGGAGTGTTCCCTTCTCTCCACATCCTCTCCAGCATAAATTGTCTTCGGTGTTTTTGATTTTAGCCATTCAAAGAGGATTGAGATGGTATCTCAGAGTTGTTTTGATTGGCATTTCCCAGATGGCTAGGGATGTTGAGTACTTTCTCAAGTGCCTCTCAGCCATTTTAGTCTCCTCTGTTGAGAATTCTCTAGTTCTACAGCCCACTTTTTAATTGGATTCTTTGGTGTTTTGGAGACTTGCTTCTTGAGTTCTCTGTAAATTTTGGAGATCAGCCCTCTGTCAGATGTGGGGTTAGTGAATATTTTTTTCCCATTCTGTGGGCTGCCGTTTTGTCTTGTTGACTGTGTCCTTTGCCTTACAGAAGCTTCTCAGTTTCAGGAGGTCCCATTTATTAATTGTTGATCTCACTGTCTGTGTTACTGGTGTTGTGTTCAGGAAGCAGTCTCCTGTAACAATTCGTTACAGGGTACCTTCTCTTCTAAGAGGTTCAGTGTGGCTGGATTTATGTTGAGGTCTTTGATCCATTTGAGTTAAGTTTTGTGCATGGCAATAAACATGGACCGATCCGCATCTTCTACATGCCAGTATCCAGTTATGCCAGCACCATTTGTTGAAGATGCTTTCTTTATTCCATTGTATATTTTTAGCTTCTTTGTCAAAGATCAGATGTTCATTCGTGTGTGGGTTAATATCAGGGTTTTCAATTTGATTCCATTGGTCTACCTGTCTGTTTTTGTGCCAATACCAAGCTGTTTTCAGGACTATAGCTCTATAATAGAGCCTTAAGTCAGGGATGGTAATGCCTCCTGAAGTTCCTTTATTGTACAGGGTTTCTTTGGCTATCCTGGATCTTTTGTTTTTCCATATAAAGTTGAGAATTGTTCTTTCAAGGTCTGTGAAGAATTGTTCTGGGATTTTGAGGGGGATTTCGTTGAGTCTGTAGATTGCTTTTGGCAGGATTGCCATTTTTACTACGTTGATCCTACCTATCCGCAAGAGCATAGGAGATCTTTCCATTTTCTGGTGTCTTCTTAAATTTCTTTTTTTAAAGACTGAAAGTTCTTGTGATACAAGTCTTTCACTTGTTTGGTTTATGTTATCCCAAGGTATTTTATGTTGTTTGTGGCAACTGTAAAGAGTGATATTTCTGTGATTTCTTTCTCAGTCCTTTTATCATCTGTATATAGTAGGGTTACTGATTTTTTTGAGTTGATCTTGTATCCTGCCACTTTGCTGAAGGTGTTTAAAACCTTTTTTAATTAGGCAAAAAGGGGGGAGAGATGTGGGAAGTCCTTCTGTATGTTGCAAATATGTGTTGCTTTTATTGGTTGATAAATAAAACTGTTTTGGCCTATGACAGGGAAGGTTATAGCTGGGTGAGAAATCCAAACAGAGACAGAGAAAGAAGGCAGAGTCCACTTGACACCAGGGAAGCAAGATGTGAGGTAACAATCATGAGCCATCATGATAAAATACAGAATATTAGAAACGGGTTAATTTATATGTAGAGTTGTCCAGTAAGAAGCATGAGCCACTGACCAAATGATTTTAATTAATATTAAGCCTTAGTGTGGTTATTTGGGAACTGGCGGGTGGGACAAGAATCCTCCAACCACAGATGGGTTGGAGAGAAAGCTCAAGAGCACAAGTTGTTGTTCTGAGAGAGCATGGGCTCAGTTCCCAGCACCCATGATGGGCTGCCCGTGACCACCTGTAACTGTAGCTCCAAGGAACCCAGGCCCTCTTCTAACCTGCTCAGGCACCTGAACACATGTGCCATATGCATGCAAACACATACATTTTTATTCTTTAAAGTTTTAAACGTTATTTTATTTAGTGTATACAGATGTTTCACCTACAAGTATGTACAGATGCACCGAGTGTGGGCCCGGTGCCTGCAAAGGCAGAAGATGTCGGACGCCCTGGAGCTGAAGTCACAGATCATTTTGAGCAGCTGCCACGTGGGTGCTGGGAATCCACTGGGTCCTCTGGAAGAGCATCAGTGCTCTTAATCACTGAGACGCCTCTCCAAGCCTAAATCCTGAGGCTGTGTTTTTATGTGTGGAAGGGCTGGGGAATTGTTGCCAACTACACATCAGACATAGGATTAATATCTAAACACTATAAAGAATTTTAAAAAATTAAACACTAAAAAAAAATAAAAATCACCCATTCAATAAATGGTATAATGAACAACCAAAAAGCGTTCTCAAAAGGAGAAATACAAATGGCTAACAAATGGTTGAAAAAGTGTCTGAGGACCCATACAGTAAAGGGAGAGAACCAACTCCTAGTTTCCCCTTGACCTCCACACCCACTGTGGACAGGAATGCCAACCCTCACACATACAGGATAAATAAATGCAATTTTAAAAAAGAAAGAAAGTATTTTGGCATCCTTAGCCACTAGAGAAATTCAAATTAAAACTGCTCTGAGATTTTATTTCATGCCAACAAGAGTAGCTATCACAAACAAAAAACAAAAAACAAAAAACATACTACTCTAAAGCAACACCCACGGCTGAGAACTTCATGCATCTGTAGAAACAGATGCAACTGTCAATCATGACATTAAGTGCAATCAACTAAACACAGGAAAACAAATACTGGTATACATGGAACCTAGGTTTGAAACTGCATGTAGATGTGAGACTAATAAATGCACACATATGCAGGTCACAATCTGGAAAGGGAGAGGGGACACGGGTAATGAGAGAAAGTGTAACAGAGAACTCGCTGGGGAGGTAACGGGCCTGCCGCAGGCGGCAGCAAGGACAGGCGAGGGCAGTGGGTGGGGAACACAGGACAACGAGGTGAAATGACACAGGTGTGATGACGTCACTGCATGCTAGTCTACGAACATAACTCAAAGCACACTGTCACTGGTCGGCGAGAACACCCGTGCCTGCATAGACACGCAAGCACAGCCACGTACCAGAGGTGAGCGCTTCACTGCCGCCAGGTACTGTAGCAGTCCCTTTGCATGGTAAATCGTAGGGTGCAGATCTGGGTGTGGGCTGTGCCACTGTCTGTTCAGGTCCTCTCCACTTAAAGAGCAGCGGTGACTACACAATCAACAAAGACAGAAAATACGAGTGCCAGACGCGTCACACACACTTCCGATTCAGCTGCGGCTTATCAAGCAAATGCAGACTGCGCTCAACTGAACATACACAGTAGTCATTAGGTAAACACATCCATCCTTTGCCATATGTAAAATCTTACGTCACATTTTTGTAACAATGGTGATTTCAAATTTAAAACAAACTTTTTAAGTTACAAAAAATAAACTGTCAGTTCTAGGCTTTTCTTCTGTACTTTATAAAATTTATTAATGGACACATTCTCTATTGATTACATAGTAACCATTTGCTATACTAGTTCTATAAGCTGAGTGCATTACTAGTCTTGTATATGTGCTACGTGAGCCCTCCATCTGAGAAAGGCAAATATATGGAAATTATGTAGTCTTGAAAACTATAAATAAACTTTCATCTGTTCATGGGAGCTATGTACTAATGTCATCAAGCACAACACAATTAACAAAGGAAGCAAAATTGATTCATTAAAGACCTTTATCATATCCTGACATGGCTTCCTAAAACAATTCAAGAAAGATTTTATGAAATTACATTCTCATGGAATCATAACACTAACACATGCATTTAAAAGTTTATCTTTGATGAATTACTCACCAAAACTTAATTCATCACCAAAACATCAAATCCATTTCTAGATTAACTTGACTCTACTGGGTCAAGGAAAGTACACACACAGCCGCCACAACAATCTACGACATCCCTGTAACCACTGCTTAACTTACTTCCCGTTGATGACACCGTCTGGATTCAGCATAGGGACAATTTTAAAGATGTAGGACTCCCGTAAGCTCTGGGCGGTAGGGCTATTACTCATGAGGTACTCTAGTGTTCCTTTCATGACCCAGCTTGCGTTAGTTTCTCCAGGATGGACCCGAGCAGACAAAAAAATGTAAGGGCGATTTCCTAAAGTGCACATAAAATCTCAGTTAAAATGAACAGCTACTACAAGTCTGAATGGCATTTCTCTTGGGGGCCCAGAACTCTCCTCAGCTGTGAATTCTGATGCAAACTCACAGAAACTCACTATGCACATCAATACACACACTCTACACTGGCCCTCAGAGAAAACAACAGAAAATGGAAGGAACTCGTGATAGGAACATACACAGGATAATTACGTACAGTGTTGGGACCACTTGCCTATTTTCTAATGATAATCTAACTTGAAAAAATTCTTCGTGAATGGAAACAGTTGTACAAAGAATATCACCTGGGAAAGTTTAAAATACAAAATTGTGTTTCTTAAACTCAAGGAGAAAAGGGAAATATTAACAATCTACATCTGTATGACAGCACAGAGAGACACTACGATGCAGACACTGACAGGGCTGTCACTATGCATTTACACAGTTTACAAACATTGGTCACTATGCATTGATATGTCTACAAACAATCACACAACTCACTACCCCTGCATTCATGCACAGCATTTCTTTTTTGCTGTTGTTTTTAATTTGAAATATTTATCAAAAATTGAACTATGTTCTTATTTTTATTACCTCAGCTGTAAAATTGAGGTAATTTTTAAATTTTAAATGGTGGGGGAAAAACAAGTAACTATTTAGTGCTAACTATCAAAATATTTGGACTCTAAAAATCCTATTGTATTTTTGCTTCAGCATGATTTCTAGAAATAAGAACTAAAAAACATGACTATCAAAGGAATCCTGAGAGGAAATCTCAGGAGACGCTCACTTCCCAAAGGAGATGACTTGAGGCACAGAGTAGGTTTACAACTATGAGTAGGACCAAGACTAGAATCCAAATCTTCTCATGCCAGCTCTTGATGTTACTTCTATTATAAAATACACTGAAAGCAAACACAAAGGAGACTGCTTGACTTACTGAACTGACAGATATGTTCATAATAATTGGACTCTGGCATTGCTGTGATGGTCACCAGGGGACAGCTGTTTCCAGACAAGGTCTCACACAGCACATCCTTTCGGAAGTAAATCTGCTGAGGGTTGTGTGCTGACTCCAACTTTTGAAGATGCATCTTGACAAAAGTTTAAAAGCAAAGTATACAATCATTTCAAAATTCGCTACTGATATATGTAGATAATGCATATAGATATCCACAGAACCAGAAGCAAATCCGATTCCCAAAAAAATCTCATCTAAAACCCTCACGGCCAGATAAAACACACGCAGCAACCTGTGCAGGACAGGAGTGAAGAGCCGCCTGCTAGTTACACAGCACAGTAGCAGGGTTCCCTACGTGGAATCAATATTCTAAATGAGCCCATACAAGCTCAGCTCAGGCTTCGCTGCCAATTTGAGCCGGGAAAAAGCATTTGGTCTGCAAAGCACTTAGAATGCTGGAATTATAACTAAAGTCACATAATAGCAAGCAAAAATTACATACCACAAATTATGAACAATTCTTTCTGATTTCAAGGTTAATAATATATATGCAATAATGAGTAAATAATATATATGCAATAATGAGTACATATGTATGAATATACACATGTACTATACATATATATTACTACATTTCTAGGATGAAGAACCTTAAACCAGAGCTGACGTAATGTTCATGCTATGAGGCTGTCACCCTCTACTAAAACACAGGAAGGCTCAGCTGGTGTCCTCATCCTTCCATCTCTGCTCTACAGGCTGGGACTGATTTATAGTCCTATCGCCCCGCTTCCTTCTGGTATCTGATCATCCTTCGGTACCCTTGCCACTAGAACAGAGACTTAGTTGTGAGGATAAATGTAGTGATGTATTATTTATGATTTATTAAAGTTTGCCTGAGGATTCAGAAAGCAAAGTCAGCCTCAAGCTATAGAGATCAGGCAGTGGTGGCACACACCTTTAATCCTAGGACTCAGGATTAAGAGGTAGATGGATCTTTGTGAGCCCAAGGCCACCCAGATCTACACAAGACTGATCCAGTCCTAAAGAGAAACAGCTCACACAAAGATGACCTCAGCACCTGGGATCTCACGCCTTTAATCCCAGCACCAGAAGGGCATAAAAGACAGGAGCAGGGCCTTCAGGAATCAGTATTGGGCATTCATTCTCCAGTCACATTGAGGACAGAAAGACACTGAAGTCTCAGAATTCTCCAGCCACATGGAGGAGAGCGTAGCCATCCTAGGATTATAGTCTGAGGTTGGTGGAGACAGGATCAGCCCTTTCAGTCTGAGGCAGAGTGAGAGCCAGTGCCGGGCTGCTCTGCTTTTCTGATCTTCAGCTTGTAGCTTGAACCCCAGTGTCAGTTCCTGGGTCCTTTGTTTCTCGTGCAACATTTGGCACCCAATGTGGGGCACAAACCCGTGCGCCTGGGAGGAGGAGTCCCATGCTCTACCCACTGAGCTAACAGATAGACCTGCCACAGCTGGAGGTTAGCTCATGTGATTTAGCGTTAGTTTTGTTTTATAATGCAGACATTCAGCGATTTCTCAGCTTATATCCATACTCTAAGGACCTGGAGCCTCTGATTATAGGATGAACCTGGTTCTTATGTCAAAAAATTCATTTTCCTACAGGAAAATTCAAAATGTGGCCATACTTTGCTACTGTTACATTTTTCTATAAGATTTAGTGTTTTTAGTTAAACTGACAGTATCAATTTCCACACATGACAAGTGAAATACATACATTTCCCTTTCTTCCTCCTCCTCCTCCTCCTTTTGGTTTTTTTTCAAGACAGGGTTTCTTTGTGTAACAGTCCCGACTACTCTAGAACTCACTTTGTAGACCAGGCTGCCCTTGAACTCACAGAGTTCTGCCTGCTTCTGCTTCCTGAGTGCTGGGATTAAAGGCGTGCATCACCACCACCTGGCTCTTCCTACTTCTTTTTAAGATTACTTTTCATGTGTGGAAGCACGGGGGTATATAAGTGTGCGCACATGTGCAGATGTGCTCACCCATGGGTGTTAAGTATCCGTTGCTTCTCTATCTGTACTTTTGGTTTTCTTTTCTGAGACAGGGTCTCTCACTAAACTGGAACCACGTACCCAGGATCCAGCTCTTTTGCACCCAGCACTGGGCTTCAGGAGCTCATCAGACCCTATCTGTTTTCTGTGCGGTGTTACAGATCCAAACTTGGACCATCGTGCCTGTGCAGTGAGCACCTTATACTCTGAGCCATCCCCAGGCTTTCACGATGCCACATCCCCACATTTCTACCTAGAATGTCTGGTCATCCTTGAACCTTCCCTGATGCATTAATTTGTTTAACCAGAACCAACTTGTTTCCAATTATCTGATATTTACTCATAATACAAGGTGATACTAATAAGTTTACAGTCAGTGTCTCTCACCTGCAGAGTTGAATATGTATATGGATAGTGATAGGCAAAATAGCAAACATCATCTTTGTGTGGGAAGCTCACGGTGAATGTGATTGTATAGTAGGACTTCCCCTTCTGTCCCCCTGCAGCAACCGAACTTCTAGAGAAGTGATTTCTGCAATTCAAAAGCACAAAGCACTTTATTTTCCATGCAGAGATGTTCTGATTTCCCTTTGCTAATTTTATAAAGTAGAATTTCCGAGAGAAAGAGAAAAACCCCAGTGGATAGTTTAACTGGGTTGTTTTATTCAATACACTATGTTACTTTTCTATTGCCATGATAAGACACCATGACCAAGGAAACTTACAGAAGAGAGAGGTTGCTTAGCGCTTACAGTTTGAGGACATGGTCCATCACGCTATGACCACCATAGCAGGGAGCACAGTTGTATCAGTCAGGCAGGCACTGATACAGTAGCTCACAGTCAACACACATCCAGAGAAAGAGCACACTTCAAAGCCCGCCCCCAGTGACACGCCTCCTCCAAAAAGGCCACACCCTTTAACCCTTCCCTAACAGTTCTACCAACATAGGAGCCTTGGGGGGCTGTGCTCCTCCAAAGCATCAGAGGCAGCACTCCTCTCTTCTCGAGGCTGAATATAGCACATGAACCTCATCTCGACACTGCTTACCTATGGCTGCTCCCTCCCTCAGGTATCAGGCTGAGGGCCATATGCACGGCACACGCACTGTAATTGCCCCGTAACAAGGCAAATAGCCAGAAAGCACACCGCTCCCCGTTCTTGCAATGTGCTAGGGGGAATCTATAGCATCACAGCTGCAGTGTTCTTGCCAAAAACAAATGTAAACTTGATTAAGCTTTTGCATCGAGTTGACGATGGACAAGAAATCAGTGAGATACATTTGTTAGCAGCAAAGATGCAATCAGTCTGACAAACATAAAACTCCTACATGAGAAACAAGCCGGCTTAACAGAGCACTCAGAGAGAAGGGGAGCCTATTGATAAAAACATTAACATAGATTAATTGTGATCTGTGATGAGCAAGGGACAGCAGCAGCAGCCATTAGACATTTCCAACATGGAATGCGCTGAAGGGTATGTTTTCCAACGACTGCTCTGTTCCGCTAATAGTCCTCGAAAAAATCACTTTCCAACCTTTTATACTTAAAAATGTAATGTGTGATCTTTCATCAAATCTAATGGGAGAAAAACAAGTACCAAGCAACATTCATACGGCACCTGGAACAATCTGAAAACTGACGAGATTACATTAAGGACTTTTCTTAATTTTTGTGATGTATGATAATGGGAAGGTGGTTAAATGGTCTTAAGGGGTCTTTGAGTTTTAGTGGTAAGTATTTCTGGACAAAATATGCTATTTGACAATGGTTATAAAAATGTGGCATGGGGGCCCCCAAGATGGCTCAAAGCTGATGACACAAATTCATACTCGGAACCACATCTTAGGAGGAAAGAACCAAATCTCAACAGCTGTCATTTGGCCTCCACACTCAAGCAGTGGCAGGTGCACCCACCCTCCAACACCCACCCCACAAATGTAAACAAAGAAACGGTGAGGAACTGTTATAAATCCGCATGGACGTAGGGGACTCTGAAATGCACGAACAGAACTGACCACGTGATGGTGACTGTTCAAGGTGGCTGTGGCATTTAAATATATTCTATCAACTTAGTTTCTAAAGTTCTAAAACTCTTGAAAAAACAGTGCTTACAGGTCATAAATGTATTCCCCACTTACATATTCACACTAGTCGGCATTAACTCCATCTTTGTGTCTCAAGTGGACAGACAATGACAAGTGCTAAGAGCTAAGGAACACATAAAACAGGTCCAAGAAGGAGCCTGACAGCTCTTTCTTCCCTGAGGTGACAGCTAACTGGAGAGACGTTTATGCCATCAGACAGTAGCTCCATGTAAGGTATGTGCTATAAACAAACATGCATACATGTTAACAAAAGACAACTTTGTTCTATTCATATCTAATACAACAGTCTCCTAGGAAGCAACCCCAAAAAGTAGTTAACCAATGAATTCTAAACTATACTGAACTCCAGTTTAACCTGGAAGCAGCCAGAGAAAAGGCAAAAATTAAACAAAACAAAAACTCCTGTTATCGCTGCTTATGCAGAACAGAAAAACTTCGTCACGATATGGTCACACAAGTGTGGACGTTTTAAAGCTTGCCTACCACTGTCCGGGTCAGTCCCTCTTTCACACCAACACCACAGAACAGACAGAGTTGTCTGGGAGTGCCATCCTGCTGAGCTGTCATTAAAACTCTACAAGCCCTGAGTTGAAGCCATTTCTTTCCCAGAAAGTGACAACATTTAATACCTAGGTTTTTCCAGAAACATAGTAGAAGCCATTAAATCTGTGTAAAATCTACAAGTCATCATCTCTGACAAAACTAAAAAGGACAAGACATCAGCGCTGGTTAAGGACAACAATAAAAGTCAAAATCCTCTTTATGGAAAACTCAAGACAAACAAGACAGAAACCAGCATCCAAGAGAGATAAACACCAAGGCCAAAATTACGAGCATACAAAACCTTGCGTGACTGATGGGAAATGATCATTAAAAACTAGAATGCTCGGTCTTTAGTTTAGATGCAGAGGTTTTTAAACCTGAGCACATCCTCTCCTGTTTAGAGAGGGTCACAGGGAAACTGGTACCTCACGAGAACAGCCAGTGGGCTCTGTTTAAACAGACTTAGCTATCAGGGATCTCATAGCAAAGGGTATCCTCCAGGAGTATGAAGAGGGTATTCTATTAGTAAACAAACAGGGGAAGGCAGAATCCATCCTGTGAAAGGACAAATCTGTGCCTGTTTGAGAGGTTGGACAGAATTGAAAGTCAGATACCTATGTAGTTTAAATTTTAAAGTTTAATCTGAAAGTATGTGCGTATTAGTAAAATATCTCTGAAAAGACATCAGCAAACTGTAACCCTAGGCCCTTCAACCAAGGAAAGATGTGACTCACTCACAGAACAGCCTTTCCAACTGTGAAATAGTAAGGCATACCTTCTAGCGTTCCAAACGAGGGGACACACATAAACAACCACAGGGTGCTCTCAGGCGTCCTGATTCTGACAATCAAGGAGACTGGCTAAGTGACGAATGATGTCACAAGCATGAAGACGGGAATCATGTGTTTTTAATGTATTTTATAGGAAATAAAATAAGCATTATAAAATATAGTGGAGGCTACCTGGGACATTTTACAAATAGAATTAGAGTTAAACGAGAATCAAGGACTTTAAGAATTCCAGATTGTTTAGAAGCAAAGTTACAGTCACAAATAGGGCATCTCTACCAAACACACCACATACCCTTCCTTCCGCCACTTCAGAAGAGGATGAAGGGAAGACTCTAAAGTCTAGAGGTCAGGGAGGACCAGCCTGAAGCAGTGACTTCCGGACAGAAGAGGATGGCTATGCTCAGGGAGCACTGCCGCTGAGGCTGCCGCACACGGTGACAAGCCTCCACGCCAGTCAGGGGGCTATGGGTAGCTGACGGCTTCTGGAGGAGAGAGGTTTTCCCTGAGGGCCAGCTGTGCTCCAGTGGCTGTCCCCCACACAGGTACATGAGCAGCACAAACTGGACTCCACGGCTTGTTTTAAAAAGAGGAGGAAGAGGAAAAAGACGAGGATGAAAAGGAGGAAGAGACAAGGTTGGGGGTTTTAGGGAGACAGGACTGGGGGTTGAGAGGAGTTAGAGGAAGGAGTGGGGGTTGGCTAGGATTAAACACACACACACACACACACACACACACAGTCTGTAAGAAATTCCCAAAGAGTAAATAAAAAATTAGGGCTACTCTGACCAGAGTAACCTGGGGAGGAAGGAGTTTATGTGTCTCACACTTCCACATCACTCTTCATCATAGAAAGAAGTCAGGGCAGGAACTCACACAGAGCAGGGACCTGGGGGCAGGAGCTGATGAGGAGGCCATGGAGGGGGAGTGCTGCTCGCTGGCTTGTTCCTCAGGGCTTGCTCAACCTGCTTTCTTATAGACCCCAGGACCACCAGCCCAGGGATGGCCCCACCAAAATGGGCAGGGCCTACCCCGTTGATCACTAAGAAAATGCACTACAGGCTTGCCTCGTCTTGTGGAAGCATCTTCTCAATTGAGGCTCCCTCTTTTCCAGTGACCTTAGCTTGTGTCTAGTTGATATAAAACTGCCCAGCACACACACTAAGTCTGTTTTGGTTGTTACACTGAAACAGAGTGGAATACGCCAGTTCATGAGCCTCTGTAAGAATACTCACTTGTAGTAACAAATGTCAGTACCCACTCGAATCCACCACGGTCTGGCATTTAGAGCTTCCTGAACTGAATACATAAGTGGCTGCATACCTTTGGAAGAAGAGGAAAGGAAAGGAAATAATCAATTCAGAATCGTTGATGTAAAAATTAATCTTGCATTTCTAGAAGGCACCAAAAATTCAGGAAGGCTGAAATATCACGCATTTCATTATTTTAGGATGTACTAAGGAAATCTGAGAGATTCCTTAAATTATAATTTAACCAAAAGTAACCCCCTTTTAAATTTTAATTAAAATGTAATAACTTTAGAGTGAATGGCTACCAATTTTTTCTGTTAAATTTGTATGTATCCAATCATAAAAAGTAAAATAGCTAAACCTATATAAATACACAAGAACATAGGGAGATGGCCCTAAAGGTAAAACCTGTCACCCAAATATGAGGTTCTGTGTTCCAGTTCCCAGAACCCATGTAGAAGCTGGATGCTGCATCACACGTCTGTAACCCAGTGCTCTTAGATGACGAGAGAAAGTTCATTCAGCTAGGCTGGCTGAGGCAGCAACCCACACAAAGAAAAGGCCCCGCCTTACACAAAGATAAAGACTAGAGCTTGAGACCATCCTAACATCCACACAGGCATCAGGGTGTACACACACACACACACACACACACACACACACACACGCACGCACGCACGCACACGCACACATGCACACGCACACGCACACGCACACACACGCACACGCGCACGCACACGCACACGCGCACGCACGCACGCACGCACGCTCATGCCCACAATGGGCACTCACTCCCCTATTTCTCCATAGAGTCTCATCAAAAATTTCATATTTGTTTCCATCCCTTCTCTACTTAAGAGTCACCATAGGGTGGTGTCTTGGCTAGTTTTATGACAATTTGATACAAGCTAGAGTCATCTGAGAGAAGGGAATCTCAATTGGGAAAATGCCTCCATAAGATTGTGCTGAAGGCATTTTCTTAATTAGTGACTGATGGGGGAGGGCCCACCCATGGTGGGTGGTGTCACCCCTGCACTGGTGGTCCTGGGTTCTGTAAGTCAATAAGCAGCTCCCTCCATGGCCTCTGCATCAGCTCCTGCCTGCAGCTCCTGTCCTGACTCCCTTCAGTGATGAAAAGTGATGTGGAAGTGTGAGCTGAATAACTGTGTCCTCCCCAGACTGTTGTTCAGGCCCTGGAGTTTCACAACAGCAGTAGAAACCCAACCACGGGCAGGAACTGAAAATGAAAATGGTCAGAGTACAAGGCACTCTGTTGAGCACTCTGAGAAGAGCTTGAGAGCCACATTACCTGGACAGACACAGTGGTGCCCTCTTTAAACTAGCACTGGAGAGACCAGGACATGTGGTTTCCTGCACTCCTGGCTAGCATAGTCTACAGAGTGAGCTCTTACCTCCCCCTTCCCCCAAATAAAAACCACAAGATCAGCTTATCTCATTCCCTAACCTGATACACTAGACTTTTAAAGTGCAACTGAATTAAATCCATGTGTTAATTTTAGAAATACTGACAGCGTTCACTGAGATCTAGTTTGACTTTAAATTCTACTTTCAGCATGTAATTATTTTCCTGGTGTAGGAATATTTCATTAAATGTATTTGCATTTTATAAGGTTCTTTCTTTCCCTTTCTACCTGGCTCTTTCAAAGGTGTTTGTTGCTCATCCTGAAAGTATGTGCCTGACACACACAGCAACCCACAGCAGCTACGCTGCCTCCTGGGTCTCTGAGGTGAAGAGCCCTACTGTGTGCTCCTTATCCATGTATCTCCGCATATGGAAGTTAGTCATTTTCTATTTTCACTGCATTTCACAACCTCAAACACAGACGGTGAACACACTGATAAGAACAAACAATTGCTTTCTCAGAATTTTAATCAAAATGTTATATACCACTCAACCCAATATTGACCAAATTTCTCAAATCAATTCTATCATGTATAATACAAGAGATAGTGAATAATTTCGGTGCCAGACACTGCTGTTTTTAGATACATAAAACGGGTACTATACCCTCCCAACCACCCGCCCTACATGGTAAGTGCTATTAACGCCACAATTTGAATAATTTCACGAGAACTAGGACTGCATTTAACAGTCAGAATCATCTCACTAAGGGCCTTGCAGGGCTCACTGACAGAATAATGTGGCCTCCTTTCACACCACTGATGGGCGGGCACACTGCGTGCTAGAGGCTCCGTACTGTGTGCTGCCTTAGTTCTGAGAAACTACTCTTTTAGCAGTAACTTGTTAAACTGGCTATTATTTAGATCCTGCACCAAAATTCTTAAGTTTTTTCTTTTCTTAAATTTACTATTTTTTAAAATTATGTCTGTGTGCATTTGAGCACAGGTAACTGTGGGAGCAAAGGTGTAGGCTCCCTGGAGCTGAAGTCACAGTCGGTTGAGAGCCACATGACATGGATGGTGACAATCACACTGCAGTCCTCTGCAAACGCAGTGTGTGCTCTTAACCCCTGAGCCAGGTCCCCAGCCCCCAAGTTGGCCCTTTTAAAAATTAAGGATAGAGTCACACTAGGTTCAGAAAAGTAAAACTAAAACCATTTGATTGTTTTCTTTTTTTGTTTGTTTGGGGTTTTTTGTTTGGTTGTTTTTTTTTTTCTTTTTTCGAGACAGGGTTTCTCTGTATTGTTTTGGAGGCTGTCCTGGAACTCGGTCTGTAGACCAACCAGGCTGCCTGCCTCTGCCTCCTGAGGGCTGGGATTAAAGGCGTGCGCCACCAACACCCGGCTCCATTTGATTATTTTCATCATTTGCTAAAATAAAAAACAAAAGTGTAATTTGGTTTTACAGGGTTAAACCTAATGTGTTCTTTGTTCCCTTTCTGGTTTCTTTAAGCAGGAGCCAAGTTGGTTTGAATTCTCTGCACAGCTGAAGCTGGCCACGAACTCCTGATTCTTCTGTTTTCCACTTCCCAGATGTTGAGACGTAAGAATGCAGCACTATGTCCAGCTTTCAACTTTTCGGTAGTTATCAGCCTGTTTAAAGTTCTCCTTTGGGAGCAGTTAAGAGCGCTGTCCGCTCCTCTCCGACGCAGAGGTGACTCCCAGCACCCACCTGCAGCTCTCAGCCACCTGTAGCTCCAGTTCCAGGCATCCAGCACCTTCTTCCGACCAGCAGAACCTGGCAGGCCTGTTGGGCACACACATACATGCATGCATGCACACACACACATACACACACATCCATACATGTATGAATGCATGCATGCCCGCAAGATACCTAGACACATACAATTTTAAGTCTTTTAAATCTACTTTGGGGGACTGGTTAGACGGCTCAGTGGGAAAGAGAACGTTCACAAAAGCATGAAGGCCTGAGTTCAAATCCCCAGCAGACATGTGAAAAGCAGGGTAGGGCACATGTGATATGTCTATAACCTCAGCACTGAGGGACACAGAGGGGGTCCCTGGGGCTTACGATTGGCCAGCCTAGCTTCAAGCTCAGCAAGAATGCTGTCTTGAGGGAATAAAGCAGAGCGTGATAGAGCAAGGTGACATCCTCCTCCTCTAACCTTTGCACAAACACACACACACACACACACACACCACACACCCTACACACACACCACACTACACACCCTACACACACATACCACATGTACTACACACACAACACATACTCCATACACACACAAATCACACACAACATACATACACCACATATACCATACACACACACCACAAATACACCACATACATCACATACACACACCATACACACACACCACAAATACACCACACACATCACACACACAAATCATACACATGCACTTCTACTTTTTTCGGAACATTGTGTGTTTCTGTGTTTCGCTCTGCTTTTGTGTAAATATTTTCAACATTTGTTTTCATTAATTCTCTCCCTTCCCTCCATTTCCTTCTGCAGCTCCTTACATTGGATACTTACTTTCAGTCACTTCTCACTTCACAGGATACAGCCACTTGGGTTTACAAAGTTAATGCTGGTTAAGCTACACTCCCTAAGTCTGGGTCAGCTAGTCTTCTGCTAAAATGAAGTGTATTACATAAAGGAGCATTTATTAAGCACTAGCAATGGGTCTAGCTCTACAGGAGAACTCAAATTCTTAATTCTAACTTTAATTTTAATAGCCTTATATAAATGGTAACTACCATGCTTAAGAGATAGTTCTAAATATTTTTCTAACATCAGCTTCAAATTTCTTTTTTAGGAAGATATTTAAGAATAAATATTATATGATTTCCAAAAGCTTTTTATTTATTTATTTTTTGGTTTTACCAGACAGGGTTTCTCTGTATTGTTTTGGAGGCTGTCGGTCCAGCCTGGCCTCGAACTCACAGAGATCCGCCTGCCTCTGCCTCCCGAGTGCTGGGATTAAAGGCGTGCGCCACCACCGCCCCGCCCAAAAGCTTTTTTTTAACCTTAGTCATTTCTTTGTTGATCTCTAACAATAGTTGAGATCACAATAAAGTCTGCGGCTATCTTCTTCCATCAGTAAGTTTCCCAGTGATGAGATGGAAGACTCCTTACTGTCTCGGGGACATGGAAGGAGCCTCCTGTGCCTCTTTAAGCAGACGGTTAAGAACTGGCAGGCAGCTACGCTCCTGGGCTAAGTTTCTGGGGTGCAGCTCACAGACCAGTCAAGGCATGTGCTCCCCACACTGCCTTCAGGTTCAGTTCAAATGTCCCCTTCATGCCTCTGCCCAAAACTACAGCAGTATATAAATATGTCTGTCTCACACTTGAAGTCTGACATTTTTAGGGTGCAGTTTTGTCTGCATTTCATCTTTTGGATGGAAGAAGACTGCTTTTCCTCCCGTGCCCCAGCAGTTTCTTACAGGCTTGCGACTCTGCTCCCCTCTGTTCCGCCCTTATCCTGTCTTTTCTGTGACTTCAGGTTCGGGCAGGGATGGCCCACTTCCAGGAGTGCCTCATCAGCTTTTATCAACTTCCTTTTTGTTGGCCCTGCATGAGTCCCATCATTTCTCAAACCTAATGTTTTGTCTTTCTTAAACTTTACTCTCAGACTGCTGGAAGACACCCTCAAATATCCATCAC